GAGCCTATGGGGGCCATTCTCATTCAAACCAACACAGTGTGTGTACCTATGTGTGTGTGCCACATGCATGCAGGTGCTTGCAAAGGCCAAAAGAGGACACCAGATCCCCTTAAACTAGAGTTACAGGTAGCTGTGAGCCACCCAGGGTGTGTGGTGGGGACAGAACCTGGGTCCTCTGCAAGAGCAGTAAGTGATCTTAAACACTGATCCAGCCCTTAATTCTTGGTCTGAGACAGAGTCTCAAATTACATAGCTCAATGTGGGTCCCTTACCACCACACCCCTGCTGAGTCTCAACCCTGTCATATGCTTCCCTTTCCCAGGCATAGACCACACCTCTTCCTCATTCATAAAATAAGACCAGGCATAGGATTGCCCCAATGACTTCAGGGTTCATGGGTGAACTAACCCATCCTGTCCCAGGCCAGAAGCAAGTAGCAGGGCCAGAATATCCAGTCTGACTGCCCTTGTAGCTGTTCATTGGGACCTCTGGGTTAGGCTGAAAAGATGGATGATGGCTGACAAGGGTGGTCCAAGCATCCACTTCTGTTTTCTGATGCCTCCTGTCATCCTTTCGCTCCTCCAAGGATGCCCAATGAGCCTCTGGCTTCCATCATGCGGAGGACCTTGTGATTCAGAGGACAAATGGCTGGGGGTGGACAGATCCTGGACAGCCAACAGAAGGCAGCATATGAGCTGAGGTGGATTGGGGTTCCGACGGCAGGGTCGGGAGGTGGGTGCAGGGACCAGAAGATGAAGGGTGCCTGCAAGAGTGGAGGACTGTGTGTGAGCCAGTAGTCACTGTCCTGGTGACCTGTGGACCTCAGATCTGACTCTGGGCAGCGCAGACTTTCCCTAGCAAGAAACTTATGGCCTCTGGCACACTGAGTACCTGAATCCCTCCACGTCTCTAGAATCCCCAATGAGAACCCCCTGGCGCCCTGCAGCCTGGGCCATGCTTCCTGGGAGGTACGTACCCACAGTAGGGTGGCCGAGAGCTAGAGAGGCCTCGCCCCAGAATATCTTCCCTGTCACTTTGTGTGGCCCAGGTGAAAACAACTCCCTCGACTTTTCTCTGTGGGGCCAGAGCAGACAGCATCCTGCCCCCTCAACACTGGGTTAATTGACCCCTCCTTCTAGGCCTACTCTTCCTTTCCCTGCCTGGCTTCCACTCGCTGTGTCCTAGGACCCACAGACTCCTTGGATATGCCAGTGTTCTTAAAAGAGCCTCAGGTCCAATGCCAATGTACAGTGTGTGTGTGTGCATGTGTGTGTGTGTGTGTGTGTGTGTAGTATATGTACAGTGTGTGTGTGTGCATGTGTGTGTGTGTGTGTGTGTGTAGTATATGTACAGTGTGTGTGTGTGCATGTGTGTGTGTGTGTGTGTGTGTAGTATATGTACAGTGTGTGTGTGTGCATGTGTGTGTGTGTGTGTGTGTGTAGTATATGTACAGTGTGTGTGTGTGCGTGTGTGTGTGTGTGTGTGTGTGTGGGTGTGTAGTATATGTACAGTGTGTGTGTGTGCATGTGTGTGTGTGTGTGTGTGTGTATAGTATATGTACAGTGTGAGTGTGTGCATGTGTGTGTACATATATGTAGTGTGTCCTCCTCCCTCCATCTCAACATCCCTTTCCTGCTGCCCTCCCACATGAAGACTGTTAGAGACTTTAGCCTTGTGTCATTGTGGTGGTGGTGTGTGTTGTCGTGTCCCTGCTCCCCACTAGAAAAAAAAAGCATTCCGGGCCCATGAAGCCCAGCCTGCCTCAGAGATAACAAGGCGACCTGCAAAGAGAGAGGGACACACCCTGCTGGCTGGAGGGTGCTGCCAGTGTATGGGCTTGGCTTTGGAGCATGAGATTGGGCTTCCCAGGGAAGACACAGAGCCTCTGAGGGGTAGTGGCTCCCTCCCACCCACCACAAGGTGAGGCTACAGCAGCCTGCTTTTTTGTTTTCCACAGTTTCAGAGAGACATACCTGGGGACACAGATTTGGGAACAGTGGTGTGTGTGTGTGGGTGTGTGTGTGTGTGTGTGTGTGTGTGTGTGTGTGTGTGTAATTGGAATTCAGGGCATCACGCATGCCAGGCAAATGTGCTATGCTTGAGCCACACCCCCAGCCCCTCACTGTGGTATTCTAGGCAAACCCCACCACAGAGCCATGCCCCAGCCCTCTTTCCTACTTTTTGAGACAGGGCTCTCACTAAGTTTCCTGACTCATCTTTGAACTCATGTTACAGGCCAGCCAGGCCTTGAACTTGCCATCCTTCTGCTTCACCCTCCTTAGTATCTAGCTGCATGGCAGACCTGTGCCTCCAGCACCACCTGGACACAATGATTTTAAATAGAGAAATGATGACCAAGGAACCATGTGTTCCCGACAGCATCCCAACAACAGATGGATGGGAAGAGCCTGTCTTGTGGCCTCTTTCTCTCCCGGTCTGTTTTTCCTTCTGTGCCCCCCCAACACACACCATCTCACTGTGTCATGTCCCCTTTTTTTTTTTTTTTTGGTTTTTTGGTTTTTTGGTTTTTTGAGACAGTGTTTCCCTGTGGTTTTGGAGGCTGTCCTGGAACTAGATCTTGTAGACCAGGCTAGTCTTGAACTCACAGAGATCCACCTGCCTCTGTCTCCTGAGTGCTGGGATTAAAGGCATGAGCCACCACTGCCTGGCTCATGTCCCTATTTTTAACCCTAACATGGGAACTGAAGTCACTTCCCAGGAGGACGCTCTCTGAGCTGTCTCAGACCTGGCTCTCCTAATACACTCAACTTCCCATAAAAAAGCTTGCTTCTTTCTCACTGAGCCCAGTGTGGGAGAGAAACAGAAAAGCAAAAAGGGTGTTGGGCCAGCAAGATATCTCAGTAGATAAAGGCTTTTCCTGTTGAGCCTGAGCACCTGAGTCCGATCCTGAGACCTACTCAGTGAAGGAGAGAATCGACTCCTCCTGACCTCCACAGGCGTGCCATGGCATGTATGTGTGTAAGACCCCCCGGAAGCTCAGGCCTCCAGGATCTTTTCCCAGGACCGAGGCCACCCCAATCACCACATGGAGACAGAAACTTGATGCAAACAGCAAGAGGCTTTAATGAAAGGTGGACATTTGTACAAACAGGCTCTCTCAGCATGCAGGCTAGAGGGCAGCCCCGTCCCCCAGGCACAGGCATTTTTAAAGGCAAAAACCACAAGCTTAGGGAGGGGCCTCGACTCTGTTGG